ACAACTATAAAATGGACAATCCTAATAAATAAGACTATTAATGTATTGATATTATCAAATGAGATTATTGTCACATTTTCAATGGTTAATATTATATTTTTTTAGCTTAACTGATTATTACACCTTGAATTCACTCTTATTTGTACTTCACTTCTTTGAAAACTCTATATCTTTTCATTTAAAGGACAATCTCTCTTGGTAGGACATGGCCGAAAGAACATATGGTGCAGTCCTCGTGTGCGTGGCTTCATTCTCCAGCATATATGCATAGGGCATGCTTTATTACACACAACATCATATACCTAAGCGAATCTAATCAAACCTCCCTAATTAATGTACACACTACACAATATATACATGACATTGGACAACCAAACTAAAAATTTAAGAACTACTGTTTCAACCGACACGTACGTGTCAGTTAATTAATATTGTCTGAAGAATATATATACAAATATATTTATTTATTTGGTTAAATGCTAATTTTGATCCCTCAACTATTTTTCATATTTTTTTTATCCCTCAACTCGAAGAACTGCATAATTTTGATTTTTTCGTCAATTAAACATGATGTGGCTATTAAATAATTTCATGTGGCATTTTCTTTTAATTCTTTTAATGACGTGGCAATATCATATCTTATAATTATATTACATAGATAAATAAAAATGCCACATCAAATCAGTTTTTATATTTTAATAACAAGAAAAAAAACAAACAAAATTACCTTATTACCCACACCCTCCCACACCCTCTCAATCCATCTTCTTCCCCTTCTTTCTTTCTTTTCTACCCACCAAACCCATATAGAACCCAGCAGCTAGGTTCGATGGAACCTAGATCGACTAGGTTCATCAAAACCTAGCACAGCTCTACTAGGTTTGTTGAAACCCAGCACAGCTCTGCTGGGTTCAACGAAGCCTAGCTCTACTAGGTTTGTTGGAACCTTGATCTGCTGGGTTCCATCAAACTCAACTGCTAGGTTTAGAGGTAGGTTTTGTTGATTTTCATTCTTCTTTAGAGCTGGGTTTGTCAAGTTCACCATGCTTTTTCATTCTTCTTTCAATTCTCATTCTCAGTTCTTAATAAATTTGGGAGTTGATTTACAATTTAATTACATTTTTTGTTGGAGTTTGATTAGGATTTGATTGACATTGTTTATTGAGGAGTTAATTTGATGGAGTGGAGATGAGAGAGCATTAAGAGAAGAAGAAGATATGGGTTAAGATCAATTTTGCAAATGGAGTGGAGATGAGAGAGCACTCAAGGGTTCATACACATTTTACCCTTTTGCAAGAAATTTGAGATCCATTTGAAGGGTTTTGGCACGTTTGATTTGCGTAAATATGATATGGTATAATATTTTGTCCGTATCAGTATCATTTTAGGTTATTTTCTCTATGTCATAAAAAAATATAAAAAATGTCACATTGATAGAGTTAACGGCTTAAACTAACGGAAGGACCAAAATTATGCAATTCTTAGAGTTGAGGATCAAAAAAGTGTAAAAAATAGTTAAGGGACCGAAAAAGTACAACTCTATAAAGTTGAGGGATCAAAATTAGTATTTAACCTATTTACATGAATAACCGATTTACTCATGTGAAGTTATGAACTTTTTTTTTTTTTTATAGAAAGTTATGAACCTATTTGGTTTGGTAAAATGATCGATTGAATACCCAACACATGTTTCGGATAAGGTTTATCAATTGGTTTTTTGATTTACCCTTTGTGTATTTCACGATTGCATTTGTCCTTAATTTTTTTTTCTAATATAAGTGTATCTAATAATAAATTATATAATAAAAAATAATTCTCATTTTCTCGTATTCTCTTTTAACTTGTTTTATAGTTTGAACTCAAAATATTTAATTTATATAAAATTTTAAACTCTTAATTATTTGAGATATTTTTTTAAAATAATGATGGAAAGGACAGAAATTTAAAACAAAATTTTAAAACTGATGACGTGACGTATATTATGTCATTAAATTAATTGATATATATAAATATCACAAGTCTAAAAAAAATAAAAAGAATAAATAATTAAATAATATAAAATATTTTTTTTAAAATAATGATGGAAAGGACAGAAATTTAAAACAAAATTTTAAAACTGATGACGTGACGTATATTACGTCATTAAATTAATTGATGTATATAAATATCACAAGTCTAAAAAAAATAAAAAGAATAAATAATTAAATAATATAAAATATTTTTCTCAAAACCTTTATTTTGTTTCAACTAATATTCCTAACCTTTTTGATAATAATTATCATTAGTTGATAAAAAAAATCATAATTGATT